AGAATTCTAGCACTCCAAAGACTCCCATGCCTTTCTTGGTTGGACCAACAAGATTTCCTCTTAGTCTTTTTGTTAAAGCAAGAAGCAGAACTACAAGTGAATCTTAATAAGTCATGATACTTTAGATTACGCCCAACAACCCACTTGAGCAATTTGCCATTCTCCCATTGATTCCTATGAATATAGGAAACTTGTATTTCTCATTCACAAATCCTTCTTTGTTTATGCTGCTAACTCTCAGTTTGGTCCTACTTCTGCTTACTTGCTATATCTCCGCGTCCTTGCATGGCTCGGCTCATTCTTAGAACCCTGCCTCTCCCCCCCTCTCCTCGTTCTACTGTCCAAAACAAGCCGTATGGAGTATAGCCAAGTGGTAAGGCATTGGTTTTTGGTACCGGCACGCAAAGGTTCGAATCCTTTTACTCCAGACTATGAACACCCGATCGAATCTGTCAAGAACGAGCTGACAGCTGCAGGGGAAGCGGCTGATTGCAGTCCCTGAGCCCATATCTTCCATCTTTGCCTCGCTCATTGTCACCTATGTTGAAGAAAGGGTTGGAACCCTGTAGAGAATGAAAAGGAGCCAAGGTTCTTCCTCTCAATAGTGCTTCTCGAGGCTCTACTCTCCCCCCTGAATAAGTAAGGCCCTGCTAACCTGGGCGAAGATGGGGATAAGGAATAAGGATTGAAGCCCCCTTAGCTCTGCCAGGGACTAGGCAGGGGTTAGCTCTGTAAATGTGTAGAGCCATATTCTATCTATCAAAGTCCTTCTTTGTCTATAGCTCGGGTTAGTCCCCCATGGTATGCTTTGATTTTCTCGAACAGTGCCGGTCCGCATTAGGGACTCTCGTGCGAGCCATGCTGCGTTCCCAGGCAGGAACTGCTCCCTTCCTTGAGCTCTCCATTTAGTTCCTCCCCCAGGCGTTGATCTCGCAACGGCCCTCCACTCCAGCACGTCCTCATATCGCGTCCGCCACCACAGCTTCACATCCCCGGAGAGATACATTGTTGCCATTGTGACTTGGTAAAGGGGCACGAACAGCCTTAAAGTGCTGTTCCATATCCCAAAGGTCTTCGATCCTTAGCATCTCGGGTGCCAACGAATGCCTCAAAGAGAACTGCATCAACTTCAAAAAATAGATACACTACAATAAACCAGAAATATCTCTAGTAAACTAAAAAATTAGCGCAATTCTATTCGCCTCCCAAGGCGTCTCGTCCTATTTGACGTAAGAGCTGGCATATATTTGTGCAATCCTGCACATTATAGGGCATTTACGTCATTTTTTAGGTCCGTTGGCATTTTGATTTTGGGTTTTATCTGTATTTCTTTTGGGCTCTAGCTCTCAAACTTTGGACCCCTACGAGTATTGTCTTAGGGGAGCTTTTTCAAGAAAATATTTCTTCAATACATAAGAGTTAGATTATTCTTGTAAAACTCTTTGTGGATTGAACATCTAAGGCTTTTTACCTAGATTGAACTTGGGTCCCTTCATGCATTCATATCATACATATTGAAAAATTATTTTATGTAAAAATATTGGCTAAGTATGAAAAATTATTTTTCCGAATAATCATTTTCTCAAGATAATTTTTAGCGGCTTTTATTCCTTACATATCAAATAAGAAAACTTGATTTTATGGGATTTTAATACGAAGTATATATTGACTTAATGAGACATCATTTTTAGCCTAAATCGTATTTTGCACTAAAACCGATTTTTCATATTTTGATTTGGTGGGAATTTGATTTTCTAGTAGCTTACTTGCTATATCTCCGCGTCCTTGCATGGCTCGGCTCATTCTTAGAACCCTGCCTCTCCCCCCCTCTCCTCGTTCTACTGTCCAAAACAAGCCGTATGGAGTATAGCCAAGTGGTAAGGCATTGGTTTTTGGTACCGGCACGCAAAGGTTCGAATCCTTTTACTCCAGACTATGAACACCCGATCGAATCTGTCAAGAACGAGCTGACAGCTGCAGGGGAAGCGGCTGATTGCAGTCCCTGAGCCCATATCTTCCATCTTTGCCTCGCTCATTGTCACCTATGTTGAAGAAAGGGAACGTCATCTCCTGCCTGTTGGGCTAGTGTGCTGCGCCCTTTAGAGCATTTCATCAAGCAGTTTGTGGGCAATTTGCAGGAGTCAACATCTTCACCTCCAATGATGAATTCCGGGTTTGCAGGGGTCAATTGACCCCTCTTGCCCCTATGTGGATCCGCCCCTGTGGCCTGTAGAGAATGAAAAGGAGCCAAGGTTCTTCCTCTCAATAGTGCTTCTCGAGGCTCTACTCTCCCCCCTGAATAAGTAAGGCCCTGCTAACCTGGGCGAAGATGGGGATAAGGAATAAGGATTGAAGCCCCCTTAGCTCTGCCAGGGACTAGGCAGGGGTTAGCTCTGTAAATGTGTAGAGCCATATTCTATCTATCAAAGTCCTTCTTTGTCTATAGCTCGGGTTAGTCCCCCATGGTATGCTTTGATTTTCTCGAACAGTGCCGGTCCGCATTAGGGACTCTCGTGCGAGCCATGCTGCGTTCCCAGGCAGGAACTGCTCCCTTCCTTGAGCTCTCCATTTAGTTCCTCCCCCAGGCGTTGATCTCGCAACGGCCCTCCACTCCAGCACGTCCTCATATCGCGTCCGCCACCACAGCTTCACATCCCCGGAGAGATACATTGTTGCCATTGTGACTTGGTAAAGGGGCACGAACAGCCTTAAAGTGCTGTTCCATATCCCAAAGGTCTTCGATCCTTAGCATCTCGGGTGCCAACGAATGCCTTTGGTTTCGCTTGATTCGCCGTCGAGCCACTGCTTACGGCCTTCTGTAGTATAGGGACCGCGCCCCTACTCTCTAAAGCTTGCCACCCCTATCTATTAGTAAAGCTCGAAGCACTTCCACGACCCCCCGTCCTTGGCCTTCCATCATGGTCCGCCTAACCAGCCCATCTTTCTCCAGAGAAGCAACCCGCTCGCTTGAAATCTGTCCCTTCAGTTGTGTAGCAAGGCGTCCACACGATTACGAGTCCGCTCCCGTCGAGCCTCTTCGACGGCACTAGCCTACGGGTTCTTCCCACTAGCCATGGCTTGGCCTAACCTTTGGCTCTGATACCACTTGTCACGGCGCTAAAAGTCCTTCAAGCCCACAAACCGCGGCACCCTGCTAACGGTCCGCTGTAGCAGAGTAAGCTGAAAAGCCCTATATATTCTATTAGTAAAGCCTAAACGTCCTTATTGAAAGCGCTAACGAGCAAGAAAACGGATGCGCTAACACGCAATGGCTTTCGCGCAGCTCAATCCCTTGCTTTGTTCTATAGTAAGGGGCCTTTTCTTGCAGGATGCCGGGTGCGCAGGAACGCCCAACCTATACAAGGGGGTTCCGCCTTCATTTGGTCGTGCTGCTATGATGTAACGTGCAGTCGTCCCGAGGCAGCAGGATTATGGTAAAGGGCCCCCTCTTTTCTCTCCCTTAAAGTCCTTTATAGATTTAGAGTCGGGAATAGAGCTGTGGCGTATTCGGCGTTATATCACAATTCATTAATTCTCGGGCATAGCTGTTCACGAAACGTGGCATGGGACATCTGTCGGCGGCGGGAGTCTTACATCTGAGCGAGGGGTCAGACCAATCCCATTCATCCTGGTCCGATCCGAACGGATCTTGTTGAATGAATTGATCCATTGTTGTATGCCCTACTTATATTAGATCAGCACTTCAACTCTGGCATTTCCATTGACATGGATCAGTAAGCTCTTTTCTTTTCTTTTCTTGTTTGGTTACCATATCAATTAGTCAGTGTAGTTTTGTTCGTTTCAATAGCAATTATTATCGAAAGGACGGGATCAATGAGATTATAAAAGCTTTTTCTGTCTGCATTGTAGATCCTTTTAGTTGGTGATGCAGCTGGGAGAAAAAATGATCACAGTGATGCTGATATTAAATTTGAGGAGGTACTAACATCCTACATTATGATATTAAATTATGACATGCGTGGTTTAAACTTTTATGTCACAGTGGAATACTTTGGTGTTTATGGTTGTGTTTTTTTTTTCTTTTGCAGGCAGTCGGTTTAAAATTTTATGTCCCAGAGGAATACTTTGGTGTTTGAGCAAGGGACGTTGACGTCGAAATTATGTTGCCCCTCAGTCCCCAATTTTAGAAAAAGAAATCTATATCATGTAATTATTATGTAGTTGGCCTTTCTCGGAAGTTACTGGAACTTTTGTTTTGCTTAGAAGTAGTATTTTTTGTTCCTTGCTAGGAGGTTCTGTTAGCTTATGTTATGACTGGATGTTGCTGTAGCTTAACATCCAAAATTACTTCTGCCGAAAAGCAAAAATTTCTCTGCAGATTCTGTTGTAACATTGTAACATGCAGTTTGATAGTTCAGTTTTCCTTAGAGCACCTCCAGCGCTCTTGTTTTGCCCGAGCATGAGGGGGCCTCGCCCAACAATTGGCTCCAGCGCGCAACAACAAGATCGGGCAGTTGGTGGACTCCACAAGCCTGGGCAGGCCCAAAGGCAAATCTTGCCTAGGTTTGTTGACGTCGTTGATGATGTTAGCAATGAAAAAAAAAAATCTTAAAAAAAACCAAAATTTTCAGAATTTTTTATTTTTTTTAATAATAAATATCTAGTCATATTCTTCACTTCTCACACCAAAATTAATGGTTTAAGTATAAAAAATAGAAAATAAATTAAAGTAAATAGCATTTACCTTTGCCCTTTGGAATGGAACTAAAAAAGACAAAGCTGCTACTATTCATGTGAATGGTGTCAAATCTTGCCTTGCCCTTGCCCTTTGGGGTGGAGGTGCTCTTATGTGTAGTGATAGATAGATGTTCTCATTAATGACATTAATCTAATTTCAAAAACAAAACAATGATGGTTTTTCTGGTTTATGACGGAATTATCTGATAAAAAATTAGAGCCAATTTCCTTTTGGCTAATTTATTATTATTATTATGTATTAAAAAAAAAGGATCAACCAAAATGCTTAATTTAATTGCAAGTGGTTTGAGTGTGGTGTGTCAATTGTCAACTTCAACAGCTTGAGAGCCTTGAGAAAAACGTGGCAGCATCCCAGAAATCTTAAATCCCATGCAATACGATGTTGTCAGATGGAACTGGAAGCAAGCGACTAATGAAGAAGAAGACGAATCAGCAAGAACTGGAACTGCGTGTTTTTTTTTGGAGACGTTGAGAGAGACTTTGAGAGTTTGTTTATGGTTGAATTCAATTGCTGCATTTTCACAAACACCACCAAGGCAACATCCAGCTACAAATAATCAACCCTAACCAGAGCAATGGATCCTTACTTCGAACAGAGACTCAGAGATGAAGTCATCTACCTCCACTCTCTCTGGCACCAAGGCCCCCCCACCTCCTCTAACCCTAACACTAACCCTACAATCAACAACCCTAACCCCAATTCATATCCCAATCCCACCAACACCTCAAACAGGAAGAGAAACAGAAAGGCAAGAAATAAAAGAGAAAGGCCCAACAAGAAGAAGCCCTCGCAACCCGACCCGCCTCCACATTCGGGCCCTCCTTGGCCCTGCCTGACCCCGACCCATGACTCCACTCCCGGTGCATCATTACCGTGGCCCACGAAGCCCAATTCGGCTCCGGCAACCCACCGTCCATTGCCAGAAGAACAAGCGAAACTCGCCGCGCTGAAACTACAACACAATGCCTTGGACGCTTGCCGTGGATTGTTTTTGGGCAATGCCGCGTCGGATAGCGAGGAATCCGAATCCGAATCTGAGGAGGACGAGAGTGGAGATGGAGATGACTATTGGGTTGAGGGTGGTGAGAGTGAAGTGTACAAGGTGTTGTTGAATGTGTTTGTGGAGAAGAGTGAGCTGAGGAATTACTATGAGGTGAATTATGAGAAAGGGGAGTTCTATTGCTTGGTTTGTGGTGGGTTGGGAAAGAACAAGTGGGTGAAGGGCTGTGCTGGCCTTGTTCAGCATTCGATTTCGATATCCAACACGAAGAAGAAGCGGGCTCATAGGGCTTTTGCGCAGGTGGTTTGTAGGGTTTTGGGTTGGGATTTTAACCGGCTGCCCACAATTGTGCTCAAAGGTGAAAGGCTTGGTCTTTCGTTGGAAAAGCCCAGCCAGGAACGAGTAAGCTTTGTCTTTTTTTGCTTGATGTTGGTTTGTGGTGGTTGTTCTTAATGTTTTATATGAATTTGGTTGAGTTGTGAATGTTGCAGGGGGAAACTGGGGTAAATGCTGGTTCCTCTGAGGGTGTTTCGGTTGTTGTTGAAGACAATGTGGCAGCTGAAAATGATGCTAATGCTGAATACGGTGAAAAAGAGACATTTGATGATCATCAGAATAAGGGTAAACAACTAATGATTTGTGAGGTTAGTTATGTCTATCACTTTTTAACTTAGTTTTTGGTTCTTGAGTTTTACATGAGTATCAGAGACAGTGTACTTTTTAATTTGATTTGGGATATGTTGTTTCAGAACTCTCTGAAATATGATGATACAAATGAAAGCACAGAAAGGACTGAAAAGGGAATCCCAGAAATGGAAGCAAACAAAGAAGCAGTAGATACTTGGGTAAGATAATTGCGTTTAAAATGAACTGAATTCATAACTTCATTTACAAATGAACTGGTTTTCTTTTATTCTATTTATTTTTTAATTTTCCATGATGCGGGATGTGTTCTTTCAGAATTCTTTCAAAGATAATGGTACAAATAAAAGCTCAGAAAGCATTGATAAGGGATTATCAGAAACCGGAACAAACAAAGAAGCAGTGGATACTTCTGTAAGATATTGCTATTCAAATGAACTGCATTGATAACTTCAATTACAACTGAGATGATATTTTCTCTTCTTTTTTGTTTAGGGTTTAGTGAATAATGGCACACTCATTGTACTTTTGGCTAAAACTATATGTTATCCAAAACTTTGAATTTTTTTTTAAATTCGAGGCCTTAAATCTCATTTTCTGGAGCCTACAAATGTTTTTTTTACCCACTTTTAAAGAAAAAATATATATATAATGTAGGGAATTGATCAATCACTGGTCTCAAAGACTGAATGGCCATGTAAAGAGTCCAGTGTTTCCTCGTCAACAGTGTTAGGTTGGCCGACCTTTAGTTCTCACTCGGCTTCTGCAACATGTTCCATTCCATTGGAAGAACAAGCAAGGTCTGCTACATTGTTGTTACAGCAGAAGGCCTTAAAAGAATGCCAGGATTTCTTTGCTGGCTACAGTGGTGAAGACATCAGCGAAGATGAGGATGAAGGCGATTTGATGGATGAAGATGGGTCTGACGAAAGTGAGGAATTAAAGTTCTTTTCAAAGATATTTACAGATCATGGCGAGTTAAGGAGTTTTTATGTCAATAATTACGAAGGTGGGGAATTTTACTGCTTGGTTTGTGGTGGGGTAGGGAAGAAGGTATGGAAGAGGTTTAAAGGTTGTGTGGCGCTTCTTCAGCACTCCATTACAATATTAAAGACTAAGAAGGTGGCTCATAGGGCTTATGGCCAGGTTATTTTTAAGGTCCTTGGTTGGGAAATTGGTCAGCCTACAACCATTGGGTCTAAAGATATACCTCTTGATGATGGACCTTTGGCAAAGTCAGACAATTTGCAGGTAATTATTGCATGTGTGATATGTTTATATAGAGTTGTTCCTGAATTCTATAAGCGCTTTCATTGAACGTTGCAGGGTGAACTGGAGGAAAATGCTGATGATCACAAGGATAATGTTGTTGTTCCGAAGGAAAACTTGGACTCTGTGAGTGATCATATTGGTGAAACAGTTTCAAAGCAGAAATCTGATGTTGTTCAGAGTACTGGAGCATCAAAGACATGTGAGTTGCAGGTGAGTTCCATCTCCATTGTTCACTCCTCAACAATGTCATATACTGAGTCGCAGATTATTATGTCATACGTAATATGTGTACATACATCATAGAAGCATAGTTATTTGTTCCTGAGTTCTGTAAGTTGCCTTTGATTGAAACCTTTGATTGAACACTGCAGGGTGAAATGGAGGAAAATGCTGATGATCACAAGGATATTGCTGCTGTTTCGAAGGAAAAATTGGACTCTGTGAGTAATCATAGTGTTGAAATAATTTCAAAGGAGGAATCTGATGTTGTCCAGAGTAATGGAGCATCAAAGACATGCGAGCTGTGGGTGAGTTTCACTCAGTTGTTCACTCAACAAAGTTGTGTTGAGTCATAGGCCATTATTTTAAGCGTAATATGTTAAATACATCATAGATTCATAGTTCGTTGCAGGTGAGTTCCGTTTCCGTTGTTCACTCCTCAACAAAGTCATGTACTGAGTCACATTATTATGTCATGCATAATTAGAATCATTTGTTCCTGAATTATGTAAGTAAGTTGCCTTTCATTGAACACTACAGGGTGAAGTGGAGGAAAATCCCGATGACCACAAGGATATTGCTGCTGTTTCGATGGAAAACTTAGACTCTATGAGTGGTCATAGTGGTGAAATAGTTTCGAAGGAGGAATCTGATGTTGTCCAGAGTAATGGAGCATCAAAGACATGCAAGCTGCAGGTGAGTTTCATTCAGTTGTTATCTCAACAAAGTCATGCTGAGTCGCAGGTGTTTTTTTATCCGTAATATGTGCATATACATCAGAGATTTATAATTAGTTGCTCCTGGATTCCATAAGTTGGTTTCATTATACATTGCAGGGTGAATTGGAGGAAAATGGTGATGATCACAAGGCTAATGCTGTTGTTTCGAAGGAAAGTTTGGGCTCTATGAGTGGTCATAATGGTGAAATAGTTTCAACAGAGGAATCTGATGTTGTTCAGAGTGATGAAACATCAAAGACAAGTGAGTTGCAGGTGAGTTTCAACTGAAGTTGTTCTCCTCAGCAAAGTCATGCTATGTCACAGATTATTATTTCATTCAAAATATGCGCATATGCATCATAGATTCGTAGTCGCACCTGCATGTTATAACATGGTTATAATTGAATATTTGCAGGGTAAGACTGAGACAAATGCGGGTGGTCCCAACGAAGATTTGAATGTCATTTATGGAGAATTTAGACCCTTTGTGAACAGTGATAATATCGACTGAGTTTCAGGTGACTATTTCATGTTTGTGATATGTACTTTGCGTCATAGTATTACATTGATTTTATGGAACCTTGCAGGACAAGCCTGAGAGAGCTGAGCATGGTCACACTCAAGATTCGGGTATGTCATGGAAGATTGAGACTCAAATTTTGTTAGTGTTTGACACATTCTGTTATCCATCAGAATGATGAAAACATAAGCGGTCTCTGCGGTTGTGCAAGACTAAATTCTTAGTTCTTCGTGAAGAAAGGAAGGGAAAGTAAAGTCATACTTTAAGTTGCGATAAGAACTGGATAGACAGAGTTCTACTCTCTTACAGAAGGACAAGCATCATTGAAAACAGTAAAATCTATAATGAAATTTTATCCTGGCACTGATATGTTCTCTATATATTTTCTCAAGAGTATTGTTACTATTAAGAATAAATTAATATTGTAGTTTCTTTTTAGTCCAGCATTAGCTAGGTGACTCTTCAATTCATAACTTGAATATGTACCGCCGGTAGCATTTGTAAAAGAGACTGAAATATTGGACCAATTTGGTTTGTCTATTAGTACAGCCCCAACACTGGAGAATACCGAATTGAGCTCAAAGTTGGTTTTTATTTCTCAGCTGACAACTTAACAAAAGATTCAGTTCTTCACACTCGTTTCATTTTCGTTTCGAATTTTGATCAGTAAGTCATTAAAGGTCCCTCCAAAGGATTGATATACGTCCAACCTGGTTCTAAGCCCTAACCAGAAGAGTGGAAAACAGAATCTTCCATGTTATTTTTTACAAAGCCATTCAAATATGTGACGTGACCGCAAAACTATGAGCTCAAAGTTGGTTTTTATTTCTCAGCTGACAACTTAACAAATATGTGACGTGACCGCAAAACTACGACACCAACCTTCAAAACCACATCCTTCCAATTATTTTGAAAATTTACATAAAATTATGAACCACCGAAGATTTCAACAGCAACCCATGGCATAATCATACAAAAGCAACATTTACAATATAAGCATCCTCCGATCGAAACATAACCATTGAATTCTCTTTATGTAGAGTGGAGCGCATAAATGGAAACATCCAAAGGCACCAGCACCAGCTTCTTAAATAAAAGATAAAAGAAACAAAAGAAATTATCTTACTCACAAGCCAGTTTTGTGCCAAAGCTGGTAAGGCAAATAGCAAATGCCTGGAAGGCTGACAAGGGCTGCCTATAATCCATCGTAAATGTATCATCACCCACTTTTCCAAACTGAAGAACCGTTTCCTCATCTCCTTTCCCCCCTGGCTGGCTTGGGTCCACTGTCGCAACCAGTTGAAAGTTCTTCACTGATGCTACTGTGACCCGACCATGGAAATTCAAACACCAGCACTGCAACTGATCATGCCATCTTGGAGCTTTATTCCTCAAGACGGTGTAGCCAGAACTGGTAGATTCTGGTTTCTTCATCTCGGATTTTTCCAAAGGTTTACCAATTGCAGTTTCACCTGATGCTGGGCAATTAAGTGGGCAGACCATCCTCCTTGGACCTCTTGATTTTAGAAGGTTGAACTTGTAAGAGACCTGCCCAACTTCAAAGTTGCCTGCTGGAACTTGGGGGCTTATTTGCTTGCTTGCGAAACGGCGGGTAGACCGGCTGCTTGCAGGCTTTGCACCAGTATGCGGTGGCTGGCTGTCATAGATTGTAAAATTGGTGCCCAGAAAATCCGAGCTGCAAAAGGGTTTGGCATTAAATAAGAATGCAGATGAGAAATGGGTTAACATTGAAATTTGTTCTTGTAATTCAATAGATCTTGAATTATGACTGGTTGGGGGTTTAAAAGAACACAAATTTTGAGACTATAAAATTTTGGTGAAGTCAATTGACCTTTACAGTCCAATTTCTCTGAAATGCAAACTAATGAAAACCCAGTGTCAAACTGGTTCAAAATTGAAATCATATCAACCTAACTTGGTACCGGACTGAAACCTCTTATAGGTAGTTCGAAATATAGTTCTCAACATATGAAGGTCCTTAAACCAGAAGACATTATATGTTACTACCCACTAAAAACGATCAGAAGGAACTACATCACATAATCAATCACCTTAACTCTCTTAAGAATAATGCCTTACCTTAGTTTTCCCACATAAGCATTGCTTCCTTGGGATATGTCATCGGCATCAAGTGATATAATATACTCAGTGTGAGAGCCACGCCTATATCTTCGTGCTGCTAAAAGAAACTTTCCCTTATCTGTGAATGCTGGGAAGGAGAGAGAAAAAGAAATATCACAGAGAACAAAAAAGAAAAATAACCATTAGCATGTCACAAACCACTCCCAAAGTGCCAAATAAAACAAAAGATCAACTGCGATACATACAATACGAGAATTAATAAGGAAGCAACATTTATCTATAGCCTCAATTTATGCACAACCAACATACTACCATAACAATAATTTGTTTATGTCAGTAATCTAAAATCAGAGAAATTTCTCAGACAAAAAGAAAACACAGTAACTTCACAAACTTATAAGTGTATTTAATGAGTATCTTTCAGCATTGACTAATGCCGCTCAATAATTTCTTCAGGCAAGCAATACCCGTTTAAAACTTATAGGTTACATTAAAGGTTTGAATTAAATCGATATCTGACATTCAAGTCAAAATCAAGACCAGGAAACTAAAGTTTTGTTCAACAAGTCTTAGATTGCACGGATCTTGCTGAGTCAAGTCAACTTAGGAATTTAATCACCAGCAAAAAGTCTCCATTTTGTAGTTAATGAAAAGTCAACTTAAAGATTCAGACCAAGAAAATTGCCCCTTTTGAGTATGCCTTCAGTGACTTGCAGGTCAAAATTTGAATTAGTAAGAGTAAAACAGCTTCTGAAGACATATAGGAGGAAGTCATTCCAAAGTTGTTCTCATGTACATACTCACATGGGGTAAATGCAAGGTAAAGGTAAAATGTTGAGGTCTTCTTGTTTCGTTTTATTAGACATTGATGGGGAAAATCGCATGGTCCTGGCTGCAAGAATCACAAAGAAATAAGACAACCAATTGCAAATCAGTTATTACAAACCACTAAATTCAATGAATCACTGAACACATCAATATTGTCAATGACAAACCAGAAGCAACTTAGTTTAAAAACTTCAATCTCTCTTCAAGAAACGCCTGAAAACACAGCTAACCAAATAATCTTCATAGTTCATTCTCTTTTATATGTAAGGACTATCATTAAGCTTCGTTCATTATCTAAGAGTAACAATAACAATAATCTGCCAGAAAATCCATAATTTCTGCAATCACAACATCAAGAGGTTAGATTTTGTTTTGCACAACACAAACATAACTTATTTATAGGGAAACCCATAAAAGTATTGTTTTTAAGACGCACACAAAACAATGAAATCAAATTTTACCAACTTCTTTGAACTCTGGCCAGTGCATATAGTGCTTTTAAATTCCAAATTTTCATTTAACGGTCATAAACTAATTCGAAAGGGGAAACCAAAACAGCTCCAAAATGGGGTAGAACGTTGAAATTCGGTGTGTTTTTATAGCATGCAACTTCTTCAAAACTTACTCAAAAACTTCTGACTTACGCAAATTCATTCCAATCACAGATGAGCCCCATTATGAATTTGCGACCCTTTTAGGTTTTAAACCATTTCCAACTCTTGATTTTGCCATCATCCAAGAAAAGTTGATCATAATTTCAGATTCTAATAGAGAAATTGCAGAAATCAAAATCCTCCACTAAATTAGCAAACTTTCAGACAATCCTGATCGATCTCCTAAGGAGACTATTCAAATCGCAAACTAAAAAAACCTAAATGCTATTTAAAAAAATAATTCAATCAATTGAAAATGATATTGCCAAGGGAATACCTGTTTAAGGCAAGAAGGGAAGGTAATTTTGCCACTGTAGGAAGGCGAGCGCACGATCTGCTTGGTAATATCCCTCCACCGCTTGCAGACACAGGCGCAAGCGACGACGTTTTGGCGGTTAGGCCACTTGTCCTCGCTGTTCTCCACTCTCTGTATGATCTCGCCGAGGAGCTCCGGGAGCATAGTCGACCACGAGGACGATGACGACGAGTCAGCACAGTCCGCGACTCGGTCCAACTCCGCCGAGTCGCCGCGCGCGACTCGGCGGTCTCCACCACGCGCCTGATCATCGTCTCGAAATTTCAATTCTCTAAACGATTTGGAGAATTTCCGAGAGAGCAAGGCTTTCCTCAGAGACATGGCTTGGGATTGGGCTTAGGGTCAGGGTTTCGATCTCGTAGACATTGGTAAAGAGAGACGGTTTTTTTCTTATGGAGAGAGGAAGAGCGAGGGAGCGAGAGTGGTAGAGGTCGATGATGAATATGAGAAAATAAAAAATGATTTGTAGTAAAGTGACCGGCTGTGACGGGTGAGAGTTGGAGGCCCAATAAGGGAGTGAGGATGCGACACGTGGAAGTTGTAGAGACGGATGTAAATTGGTGTTGGATGACGGGACTGTGAGATTAGAGGTGTAATGAAAGTGTGGTGGGAGTTTGACTGGGTCAATTCAACATAATAGCCGAAGCCGCAAGCGGCAAAAGACTGTAACCAACCACACCGCGTCTCCAACTCTTTTTTTATTTTTTTTATTTTTTTTAGTGTGAAATCGCCTGCTGTTACTCACTTTAACCCCCTGATATTTTTTTAACAAAATTAGTAAAAAATTATTGGGAAATTCACTGTTATATTTAATATGGGAGTCCAAATTATATAAAAGCCTTATATGAAATGGACTTTAGAAACACACTCAAAGCTCCATTTACAATATAACAAAGAGGCTTCGAACTTTTTATAATTACAAAACTACTATCAATTTTTTGAAACAAGCCCAATCCCAAAATCTTATTAAAAAAAACCCTAAACACTCAATGGGTCATTAAAGTAATTTAATAATTAAAATTAAATTCAATAGAGTTAGCTGTCATTTTTTGGGTTTTTTTTATTTTGTTTATTTTTAGAAATTAAATGGTGTAGGGTTTATCTATATTACTAGTGTTAAGAATAGGTATATCACTAAATATCTCAAAAATATTTTAGTTATTTCTAATTGACCAACAAAATCAATGTTAATTTTGATACAATTTAATTTAGGGCTTTTTTTTAACTTTTAGCCAAATTGATATTAATTAAAATTATTTTTTTGTATGACAAAATCCACTTTTTTCTCATTTGTAATTTTGCTGCCAACATGTAAAGAAGTATCTGAACAATACATTAAAATTAAACAATTACCCATCAAATTCATAACGTTACACATAAGCAAAATGGCCAATATCACTTGCCTATCAAATCACACTCCTCACACCACCACTCATGCCAACCTTAAAAAGTGAATGAATATCCAACTCCACATGGACAAGTAATCCTAAACTCCATAATAATAGATGGAATACAAGCTAATAAGTACCGAAGCTATAATTAATTTGGCTTTCTCCAATATCTCACTTAACTAAAATCGTCTCAATAATAGAGCGAATTTGCTCTTCACTCCACACCCGAGTTCGAATCCACATTCCCGTCCCAAGATAATTTATCAGACTTCTAATTCTCCCATTTTCAACTTAACAAAAGCTAGAATCATGATCGCCTTTCCTTTATCCCTTTCACGAAGAAAGGATGCCTATTTCATTGGTAGAAAAAACAGAGAGAGAGAGAGAATGGTAAGAGAGTAAAAATGAGAAAAAGGCAGACAAGGTGAAACCTTTTGCTCAAAACAAGGTTGAATTAAGATCTCTCCATCCCGTAGTTAAAGAAAATAAGTTGGAATATTTTCTTGTGAAAAAGAACAAAAATGATTATTTATTTTTGAGGTGAAATCATGGTTCTTGTTATTGAGAGGCAGTGCAGGGAGTGCCCTCAGCACGACACGTCATCCATGCAAAAAATACAAGTGTCCGCATGCATGGCCTTGGACGCTCATACGAAGACACGTCGAAATATATATAGCCATCAACTTTGCCCTTTGACGAAGCTTTTTGTCTCCTTTGTTTCATTAGAGGATCAACAGGGGGTGTATATGGGGGTGTATATTAAATATACACTCCGAGTCACCGGAATCGTCTCTAATGGTGAGATGTAAATGGATGTAAATATACATCACTATCATGGGGATGTAAAATAAAATGTATATTTACATCCATTTTTACATTCCTTGCAGGCCGGACCCACCCGAGAAAAGAGAAGAAAAATGAAGAAAAGTCAACATAAAAGGCTGAGACCCACAGCTACACCCCCGAATTTACACTCCCTCACTGGAGCCAAAAACATATTTACACCTCCCGGAGGTGTAAAAGGGATGTAAAAGTGGCTTTACACCACTCACTAGAGCAAAAAACATATTTACACCCCGGAGGTGTAAAGGGGATGTAAAAGTGGTTTTACACCTCCACTGTGGATGCTCTTAGCATCTTGTTTGCTCTTAGCATCTTGTTTCCTTGTACGAATCATTCAATTAGACAAATCCAACGGTGAATCCAGTACGAGTCTTTTATTAACCAACGGTGCTGATGGATGATACGAAACACAACAATATCCATATTGTTAAACAAAAAGTAACATTTAAAACAACCTGCATAATGCAGGCTGCAAACAAAGTACAAACGCATACCCAATTGACATCCGCCAACGAACAATAACCACCGTCCGATCATAATCGCGATGATCAGAAAAATCAGACATTCCCACGTTGACGGTCCTGATTCATTCCCCAGCCACGGACCCCAAACTGCAACTCAGCAGCAGCAATCAAAAACTCCACAGCCTGCTGTGGTGTCAACAACTCCACCACCTTCCTCACCGTTCTCAGCCTCAGATCATCAGCCTTCTTCAACACGCTCACCAGCCGACCCATCTTCATATCCAGATTCGTGCATGCCCCCATCAGCTCACTCGCCCCCTCTTGCCACTCCGACAACTCCTCCGATATCGCATTCTCCTCTTTCACCTAGAAAACAAAGCAATTAATTAAATGAATTACAAAAAAGATCGCGCTGATTAGTACAAATAAAGTTTTTGGAAGAAGAAGTTCAACACATGACATGGAGAACACAGAACATGCAGAGTTAAATGCTCTTAACCATTTGAACGTTAGTTAATGTTGGTGGTTAATTCATAGGGTGCACTTACAGTTTCACATTGGAGTTCGCTGACGAGGCGAAACTGGGAAGGGGAGAGGTCCCCAAGGTCTCCGGTGCGAAAACCGCGGAGGATGTCGACGATGTGGGCCTCGAAGTGGATGGAGGACTCGGAGTAGACGAGGTGGAAGGCGGTGGTGGGGCGCCAGCCTGCGATCCAGTGGAGGGAGCGCTCGAGGGTGGTGGCCCACGGGGAGACGAAGACGGCGAGGGCGTCGCGCTCGGCGGCGAGGGCCTTGACGCGGTAGTACTCAGCGTAGTGGGACATGACTTTCTGGACGACGTGGAGGAGGTGGTGATGGTGGTCGGGGGTGGTGGGGGGTCTAGGACACGTAGAGAGCTGGTGGACAAGGTGGTGGAGCTGCTCGAACCACGTCTCGTAGAAGCTGGTGAAGCTGCTGCTGCTGCTGCTCATTGTTGGGACTTTAGGGTGGTGGTTGATTTCGACCGTTGGATGGAAAATTGGGTTGAGAGAGGATTCGAAGGGTTTTTTGGATGTGTGGAGTGTATTGGGGGGTTTTGTTATTGGTGTTGGAGTGACACGGAGGCACGTACTTGGCTACGTGGAAGAAGATGGTGCAATGTTTTCAGTTCGATAGATATGGGGTCTCTGTAATTTCTAGTGCCAAGTTGACTAGTTACCAAATGAACTTTTATTTGAATCAAAACGTAAAAGTTCTGTGGTTGGCTGGCTAGTTGGCTACTTGTCGTGACTATACGTTTGTTTTGCTTTTTTCTGTGAGGCAATTTTGCAGTAGGGTTCAGGTTGGTTTGTTTGCTTCTACGTGAGGAAAAAGATACAACCTATTCTTAAAAGGAAAGATAACCACCAACAGATAAGCCGCCAAAGAAGGAAATTAAGGTAGAAATTCATATATATCCAAAGTATATATGCTACTAGCTAGGCACACACACCTAATTTATGTACTAAATTCAAGTGATGAATGATGAGTTACTATACATGTTGATACCTTACTTGTCAGCTCTCAGTAATGTTTAAAGTCAAATCACATTTGAATTCATCAAATATACCACTGCATCATTTGGTAAATAAAATTTAGTTAACGGATTTGGTATGCGCTCTACGTAACTGATTATGTTCATAAATATATTCTCTTAATCACTTGAATTACAATAATACAATAATGTCAGCTCGATTATGTTTTTTGCCACCAATATCGGGAGTCATACAAATAACATCTCTTTCACTGAGTGTTTTGGTATACGACTATTTACTTCAAGCAATAATATTAGAGAACCTAGGACTCGTGTAGAACCATTCTATATGAATTTAAAATTATTTTGGGTAAGCTGAATGAGTGCTTCTAGTTAATAGATGAATTTAAAAGTATTTGAAAGTATTTTCCACATACCTATTTGGTTCAGAGCATTTTTTTCATGCACCCAAAGTTCTAAATTCGATTTCCCCCTCTTTAACATCGCTTGTAAAAAAGAGTATGTGGAAATAGGTTCCACAGCAACACGGTGGCAATAAAAACTCCCCAATATCACAACTATAGCAATTATCCAATCTCTAAATCCCGGTTTACGGTTGATGGATGGTGACTCTCTACCTTCCAGGAAGTTTCATGTCAATCTTTGCATGAAAGGGCAGCTCAGAAAATTGTAATTAGCCAACAAATTGGTGTGTCTCGATCGGGATAAAGTTGTGGATTGTATGTGTGAACTCGTTCACTTGCCTTTGCGGCGCGGTTTGTCTCATTGATGACGTCAACAGGCAAAACTGTAACATTCTGATGCCGAACATATCGCACCTGCTCTGGTCAATTGCTTTTGTTTGTTTGTTTTTTTTTTCAAACATCTGACCTCAATTTTTTCCCTTGCACATGGCAAGACATTAATTATTTGCTCACCTACTGTTGTGTTCATGTAAATGTATGTGGTTGGAACTTGGAGGTTTTCCAGAGAATTGTTGAGGGTTTTACATTCAATATGCTAACCCCCAATCTTTAATTTGAAGAGATTTTCCCTGTGCTTGCCTAAAAAAGAAGGTAACGTTATTTAAAATAATTTAAAATATGTTATGTCAAACTTTCAATCTTGACCACGTATTTAGACATGCTTCTTCCCAATCAAG